CAAAATACAAATGGGCTCTTCTGCTTCAAGAAAATATGTGGGATTTTCTTGAAGATTCAGGAAATGGGGAACTGGGATACTACTTTCTCTGCAACTATAAAAAATATTACGCATGCTTTCTTGAATTTAATACATACATTTACACATGGGTGATGAATCGTGGAATCTTCCATTGGGTTTGTAATTGTCTATAATATTAATAAAAGGAAAAAAGGCCAGCTGCATGTGCATTGGTATTGGTGAGATCTCAATTTCTTTTGCCAGTCCGAAACTTTCACATGCATAATAGACGAAGATGGTAAAGAAAACTTTTGAGTCATCCCCTGAAAGATTACCTTTATTAATGACCTATAACCCGTTGATGTCCTGTTCTTTTTTCTTTTTCTTTTTTTTTTACGTAGTACATTTTCAATAATTTAAGAACCAATGAGGGAATTTCAATTGCACAAGGATGTCTTATAATAATAACAAATATACATTTATAGGTATGAAAATTATTAAGCTCCAAAAATGTAATTTTTTCAAAATTCATTCTCAACCACACATTTTTCAAAATCTCATTTTGATTTTTAGCAAATTTTAATAAAAGTTGATTAAATATGTAATTGAAAAATTGACAAAAGTTATGAGTCGGATGAAATGAGTCAATAAAAATGAGTTTAAAAAATGGGAATCAAATAGGGGCAAAGTGTACGTGCGACCTACTCGACCACGAAAATTATATACCAAGAATTGTTTTCGATTAAATGTTCTACTTGTTATTAAACTTTTTGACGTGTTTTTCAATTATGTTAAATTCATAAGTTCTCAAGGTTCACATTGAATATATAAAAAAATGTTAGCAATTTTGTTAATCCGCCATTTGCCCTTTTATAAATCCAGGTAGAATTGCAGCCACAATACCAAATTTTTTGTTTTGTTGCAAACTTAGTCCAAACATTTCATTTGTGTCAACCACAATACCAAATCTTTCAAAAATTCACACTCGAAGTCCAAATGGATGATTTCCTTCCATTTGACTGTTAGTTAACCAAAATAGTTAATCTTGACCAATTTTTAAAAGGTTAAATTGGTGAATTTACATTTTTCACAAACGATCCAATTGTAATTATTAAATAATAAATAAAATCAAAACTTCATCTTCTTCCCATCCCCATGTACCCCACCTACGCCTAAACCAAAAAGGGCAAAATGGGCAAACCCATCTCCGCCACCCCTACTTGTCTATCATTAGTTTTCCCTTTCAAATAAAGGATAATTCCGTTTCAAATGAAGAGAAAATTTTGGACAAACCAATTCTAGTCTCCATTTCAAATGGCATGTTTTGCAACTGGATTTTGAGGATAGTTCCCTTATTGAGGAGTGCAAAAATTTATGTTAGAGACTAGCGTGGACAATCTGCAAATGTCATTTGCAGTGGCGGCATAGTCGGTGGTGGGTGGCAAGTGGGGATGGTGGAGATGGGTTTGCCCATTTCCCCCTTTTTGGTTTAGGTATAGGTGGGGATGGGGATGGGGATGGGAAGGGAAGAAGATGATGATGTTTTGATTTTTTTTTTAATTATTTAATAATTACAATTGGGTTCTTTTGTGAAAAAATGTAAATTTATCAATTTAACCTTTTAAAAATTGGTCAAGGTTCACTATTTTAGTCAACTAATAGTCAAATGAAAGGAAATCATCCATTTGGACTTTGGGTGCAAATTTTTGAAATGTTTGATATTATGGTTGGCAAAAATGAAAGGTTTGGTACTATATCTGCAATTCTCCAAAAAAAATCAATGAAATTGAAGCACTTACTAAAAATTTGGGGGTACTTGGCTACTTGTGGCTCGGCTAAGGAAAAGCTTGAGTCGGCTTAGGTTCGGTAGACCCTAGCCGAGGGTCGAACCTAAATTTTTTGGTCGTGCAAGTCCAAACAATTATAACTCGGGTCGTTAATTTTATCCAATTCGTTAATTTAAAATAATTAAATGACAAATGTGAAAACATTTTGATAAGTTTGGTACAAATTCAATTTATTTTTATTTTAAAAAAATTTTGAATGATAACATGAAAAATTATGTAAGATTAATGACAATTCAAGAACTTCAAACTTCAATTGCAATTGAATTGTTGACAAGAACGAGGCCATATGTACATTACACATGCCTTGTCAGAATTAGAGACCACAGAATTTCGCCAGAACACACACGTGGGTCTCGCAAATTTTTTTTTTCAGTGGTGCTATATGTACAGAAGTCTTATCACATAAACATACCAGATGAGCTGGCAACCATTACTTTTATATAAAAAAGTAAAAAAGAAAAGACACGGAACACATTAAATTGAAAACACAATACACCTTCACTTTCTCTTTCTCCACGCCACTTTACCTAATGAAGTTCCCACCGATCTGAGACCCTAAATTCCTATAGACGTCGTCAGTGCTTTTATCAACTTCGTCGGCTACCTTCAATCCATCAAACAACGACATCTCCAACGTATTTATCTTTGTCATATTATCAAGTCCACAAACCGCGATAAACCTACTATTTTTGTCGCCGCTGTCGTCATCATCTCCAGCTGCTCTCGATGTATGATTTTTTTAATTATTCCATAGGAGAATGTATGATTTTTTTTAATTATTAAAATTGATTACTATTAACAACGACAATTTCGTTTGTAATATGAACTGCTCTTCACCCACATAAAATCCGTAGGTGAAAGGTTGACGTTTTTTAGAAAAAATTTGAATCACATGACCTACGGAAATGTTGTTGGTAAATGGTAAGCATATTAAACAACAACATTAGGTAAGGAATATCTGTTAGTGAAAAACTACCACTTTTACCAACAAAAATTCCGTTGATGATTTTCGTAGTTAAAAGTCTAATATTTTTACTAATGGATAATCTGTTTCTGATTACCATTGGATAGAATCCATTGAAAATTATCCGTAGGTGAAAAGCTGATTTTTAGTAGTGAATCTAAGATTCCATGATCATATGAAATAACAATTGTATACTCGACTGTTTGGGTATAGTGAGACACAATTC